TTTGTTTGTTCGCGCAGTACTCCGCCGTTTGTGGACCGATTTCGAAAATTTTTGTTTTGTTTGAAAGGGTATACTCCCGAGATGGTCCCATTTCCATGAAGTCAGGATCTGATGATGGAATCCTAGGGAAACCGAGGGGAACTTTCGAAAATTCTATGGAGGAGTAATGCGTCTATTATGTTTTTCAATTACGATTTTTAAACACTACAATTTCATATGGGTTTGGAGTCGACCTGATGATGGAGTCGATAGACAGTCGAGGGAACTCCTCAGCGGTTTATATTAACTACCTTGTGTTTGGGCTTGATTAATTTGTATTGATGAGGACTTTACACCTAGATACAGTGGGGCTGTCATTAAGGGTCTGATGATGAAGAAGTGTAATTGGTAAGGGAACTCCTCAACGGTATACAGTAACTACCTTGTGTTTGGGCTTGATTAATTTGTATTGATGAGGACTTTACACCTAGATACAGTGGGGCTGTCATTAAGGGTCTGATGATGAAGAAGTGTAATTGGTAAGGGAACTCCTCAACGGTATACAGTAACTACCTTGTGTTTGGGCTTGATTAATTTGTATTGATGAGGACTTTACACCTAGATAGAGTGGGGTTGTCATTAAGGGTCTGATGATGAAGAAGTGTAATTGTTAAGGGAACTCCTCAACGGTATACTGTAACTACCTTGTGTTTGGGCTTGTATAATTTGTATTGATTAGAACTTTGCACCTATATATATTATAAGTAACAAAACGGGTATATGTAGCTTTACACTGAAAATGATAAAATAATAAAATAAAAACTGCGTTTAAAAAACCGACTTCAAAAAACCAAAAACCAAAAACTAATAACAAACAAAAAGTCAAATCTAAAAAGCAAAAAATAACTATTATTAGTACTGATAGGTTACCCCCCCACTGATAGATTAGAAGTCGGTGCCATAAGCTCATATCATAATGATATAACTTAATGTCCACAAAATTGTGAATAAGGTACCTATTAAGGTTTTAATGAATAATTTTGTATTGAACTTATGGCACCGACTTCTAATCTATCAGTGGGGGGGTAACCTATCAGTACTAATAATAGTTATTTTTTGCTTTTTAGATTTGACTTTTTGTTTGTTATTAGTTTTTGGTTTTTGGTTTTTTGAAGTCGGTTTTTTAAACGCAGTTTTTATTTTATTATATCTAAGTATTGCAACTTAATACGAGAAAATAAAAAATACGTGTCTAATATTTTTTCATTATCTAACTGACGGACTAATTAGATTTTTAATTTTGATACCCTGGAAACTACCCAATTCTATTTTTAAGCCATTGTTAAACTTATGAATCGCCAATGCTATGTACGCCATTATTGTCGCATGTATGAGACCTTTATTTTGTTACTTTTGTGTATACTAAATGTTATATGGTTGTGATGTAGAAAACATTGCCCCACACTAGGATTTTCTCCTGTGTCGTGTGTGCGTTTACAAACATACAAATTCACATACATATGACACCCAGACCCGAAACAATAATCTGTGGATCACACAAAGAATCGTCCGTCGTTGCGCGGCATCCAGTTGGCCAGCCACTGCGCCAACTGTGCAGCAATAAATGTAAATTAAAAAAAGCCTATAACATTGTCTTTATAGGAGACCTCAGCGCAAGTAGCTCAGGGCCAAGCTAGCTGGAAGTCACCCGAGGGAGAGGAGATTCAATTCCAGTATGTAGCCGACGAGAACGGATACCAGCCACAGGTGACTTGACTAGTTGTTTTTTAATTTTGACATCTATACATATATACATCACGCCTTTTATCCCCAAAGGGGTAGGCAGAGGTGCACATTATGCCACTGTATAATGTAACACCCACTTTTCACTATTTATGTTATGAGTCCCATGTAATAGGGGTGAGCCTATTGCCATATACCGGGCATAATTCCAGACTCCGTGCTACTACTGAGATTTTTTAAAAACCCAGTAATACTTTGCCCGACCCAGGAATCGAACCCGAGACCCCTTGCCTGGCAGTCGCACTTGCGACCACTCGGCTAACGAGGCAGTCATTTCATTTGTATTATTATAAACATAATAATAATACAATACAAATAAATAAATGTCAAATATTTGTAGTACATGTCAAAATCATAAAATCTAGGATATTATAAAGTAAAATCTACAAATAAAAAAGAACAGAGACAAATCATTTTATACAGAGCTTATCGTTTTAAATTTGGGGCAGATTTTAATCTATATATATAAAAATGTAACCCGTTTCCCGTTGTCAATCAACTTTGACAGATTTTAGTCGGTTCGACTACCGTGCGAGGCAAGGTAATTTTTAAAAATGCATAAAAGCAGTTTTGTTTCTTTTCAAAAATAAATGAATGTTTTTTTGAGTAAAATTTTCTATATAAAGTATTAAGAGTACTTCCCCTTCAGGGGGCTTACTCTTGAATCCAATTCCGATCAATCGACATTGGTATTGTGAAATTTCGTACTCTTGAGGTGCAATACTATTGCCCATTGCATCCGTATATTTATATTCCGTACTCTGAATGCTATAGTAACAGCTACGATTGTGGTTGTCTAGTGTTGACATTGGATAATTATTGAGATTTTTATTGGATTGAAATTGCATTGACATTGAGATTGGTTTCAAGAGTAAGCACCCTGGTGGCAATACAAAATTCCACCCTATATATACTGAAATAACATTTATTTTTCTTAATTCCAGGGCTCCCACCTGCCAACATCTCCCCCGATCCCTGAGGCCATCCTCCGCGCCTTGGAGTACATCAGGGCTCACCCACCACCACCAGAAAAGAACTAAATTATATCTATACTATCCCTTATAAGGAAAAACTATTCAACTTCATACATAACTAGACACTGCCGTTTAAACCCCTAAACTATGCCTTAACTAAGAGTTGCTTAGCGTGGGAACACCTTAACTATTTGTACCGATAGGTGTCACTTATGGGTTAGTGGAAATCCAAATATCGTGACAGCAGTTGGTGCGGTGGCTAAGCAACCGGCTACTGCGTAACGTGTCGTGCGGTTTCGTTTCCCGCACGGAGCAATTATTTGTGTGATCCACAAATTGTTGTTCCGGGTCTGGGTGTCATGTGTATGTGATATTGTATGTTTGTAAACGCACTCACGACACAGGAGACAATCCTAGTGTGGGGCAACGTTAGGGGTATCTTAAAAAGACAATAAGAAAGGTTGATGAGAACGAAACTATACTGCGATCTCCAACCCGCCTGCCTGCGGAGATTATGACCAACCCTCTTATGTAGAGGAGGCTTAGTTCAGCAGTGGACTGTCAAGTCTGTTTATGATAATAAGACTCAGATGCCCAAGGCACTAGTAACGCCTCTGGTGACGAGTGTCAATGGACGACGCTGATTGCTTACCATCACGTGATAAGTCTGTTCATCCGGAGCAGATTTTTTTTCATTATCATCATCAACAGCCTATAGCTATCCCACTGTTGACCAAAGCCTCTTCACACACGGAGAAGGTTTGAGCATTAATCACCACGCTTGCTCAATGCGGGTTGGGGATTACAAACTTATAATTAGAAATTATAAGCCCAGGTTTCCTCACGATGTTTTCCTTCACCGTTCGTCAGTGGTGTCTAGATAATCTTACGGCAGTTTAACAATTGTTTTTAATCGAAAATCTTTAAATTGATCTCGAATTTTGACATAAATTATTGTCAAAATTCGATTTTAATTATAAGTAATTTCGGTCGTCAGAGAAGTTCAATAGTCTTTCTATATAAAAGGGATGTTCAAATAATTTAGTACTTAATACATATCTTTTGTTAATATTTTTTAAGAATTGCCAATTTGTAAAATACTCATTCGTTTGAATTTTGTACTTATATTTTCTTCTGTGATAGAATAAATAAAATTCTGTTGTTAAAATGTATGTTAATGATGTTTCATTATAGTGCTAATCTCTATTTCCTAATCTTCTCCAAAATAGGAAAACATTTCATCATTGTTTTTATAATAACTATCGTGAGACATACTAAATCATTCTACTACTCACGTGAGAATACTGAGAAAAGCTCTACTATACTCGGAATTTTAATTCGATTCCAGATTTGACAATTTCAGTGTTGCAACGTTATGACAAGTACTAAATAGTGACGTTGCGAAATTATTCGATATGGAAATGGAATATTTCTGGATCGATTCTCCTCGTTTATAATTTTACTCTCGTAAACTAATCAGTATCAGGAAATTAAATATTTCTGATCGATAATTTAGTTTTGACGATTAATTAACGATCTGAGACTTTTCTTTTATAATTGTGTGTGAAATAAATAAAAAAATGTAATCATGAAGGAACATGACAAATAAAACAGATAGATATATTATGGTGATAATTTATTTTATAAATTGTCACCGTCATTGCTATCGCTATCGCTGTCACTTTCTGTAACATCCTTACTAATCCTTACTAATATTATAAATCGGAAAATGAGTTTGTTTGTTTGTTTGTTTGTTTGTTCCGCTTTCACGCAGTAACTACTAAACCGATTGCTTTGAATTTTTGCAGACGTAAAGTTAGAAGTCCGGATTAAATAATAGGGTACTTTTTATCCCGGAAAAAATTGATATTCCCGAGGGAAAACAAAAGTATTGGTATAGATGGCGCTGTATGTACTGCTATAGATGGCATTGTATGTCATTTAAAACCAGTCAACGAATTACCTACTTATTGGAAAAATCTAAATAGCGAAATATAACCGAATTCCACGCGAGCGGAAAGCTATTTGTTTGTTTGCCTGTCTTAAACGGCAGAACGGAGGTACTAATTAACGTGATTTTTTAACTGAAGGTAGTTGAACGGATGGATAGTCACATAGCCTACTTTTTATCGTTTTGTGAAGCGAGCGAAGCCGCGGGTAAAAGCTAGTGTTACATAAAACGCAGCCATCTGGTGGCGAAACGTACGAGTTCGCCGGGTTTGCTAGTATAAAATACATTCCTACCTTGGTCCCTGAGCACAGTGACTGCCTCCAACACTCGCTTGGTGTAGATACAAGGTTCGTAGTTGTCCATCTCCTGCGTCACCACTGAGCATACTCTGTGGACAAACATACAAAGTTTATTTTTATTTATTCATTTATTTATATACATTCAACACAGAGGACAATACATAATATAAAAACAGAGTACATAGGCCCCACATATTCCAACTGGAATTTCTTCCTGTGGCCCTGTGGCAGGAAAAGAAATAACAACAATGAGACAGTTAGAGAGACAGACAGACAGTTTAGATTCAATATACGGCTTACTTGTTAGAACTTATGTATGAAAGTTCTAGTTTAACTTATTAAGTTACTTCGTGTGAGTGAGGTTACCGGAGGCCCAATTATCTGCCTCCCCAGTCTCCCCAATCCCCCACAATCCTCAAATTCCCAATCCCAAAATGCCAGTAACACAGTTGTAACGCCTCTGGTTTTCCAGGTGTCCATGTGCGACGCCGATTGCTTACCATCAGGTGATCCGTCTGCCCGTTTACCGGCTTATGCCATAAAAATAAAATCGGGACCAAATTTATATTTATTTTTTTATGGGATAAGCCGGTAAATGAGCAGAGGGATCACCTAATGGTAAGCAATCGGCGCCGCCCATGGACACCGAACGGTCGGAACGGTTTTCTCCGAACGGTAGTATAGGCGAGTAGCGTTATTAACTCAACAAGCCCGCGCGTGCGCCGTGCTCCGTGGCACGCAGGATGCGGCCTCCCCGTGCCGGACCCCCGCACTGGTCCCCGCGACGGACCCCCGCGCTGGTCCCCGCGACGGACCACTTTTGTATGAAACCGCGCGGGTGTTTCAGGCCTTATCTTATTCCTTATATCAATCCTCAAATTCCTAATTCCAAAAAAGGTCCACGTCCTTCCACATATATAATACTAGTAAAGTATAGATACCTGGCGGCTCTGCCCCGTATGGCGCCGGCCGTCCTCTCGAGCGAGTCGGGGTCTCCCTCCTGCAGGGCCACCACGCACTTGTTCACGTCCTCCAGGATGTGGTTCTCTGTATCACATAGGTATACTAATTAATACACGTTCCCGTAAGGGGCGACAGGTGATGGTAAAATAAAGTTTAATTATTATAAAAGTAAGGAATTCAATGTTTCTACATAACATTTACGTAACATCACGCATTTTATACCCGAAGGAGTAGGCAGACACGGAATAACAATCTGTAGATTGCATTAAGAATTGTTCTGTGCGGGAATCTAACCCGCTATACATTTACGAATCAAGTATTTTTGTGAAATCAAATCTAAATTACTATAAAACTGCTGACAAAAGCTATTAAATAAAAAAAGGTTAAAGGTACAGACCTCTAACCTTTTATTATCGCTTAATTTTGGAGGTACCCTAATATCAAGGGTTTTTTAGGTATCCTTTGACTTTTGCTTAAAAAAGGTGGGAATCGTAGAGAAGATTTTTTATTATTAGATTGGATTAACCTTATCGTTAAACGGCACTATTAAATAAAAGTTCTTTATGCATGACATCATTAATATATAATAATTGCCTGATGACATTAAACGATTACCAATCCACCGGTTAAAAAATAAATTACATTCATTCCTAATAGTGAGATGTTATTATGATGTTAAAGATTACTTGTGTGACAAAAATATTGTGTTCCAATGACAAGAAAAGTAAATATGTATGTGTATAATAATAGATATATTGAACTGTAGTTGATACGTTTAATCTTTATATATATAATTCTTCTGTGAGTGTGTATGTCACTGAACTTCTTTCAAACGACTGGACCGATTTTGATGAAATTTTTTGTGTGTGTTCAAGGGGATCTGGGAATGGTTTAGATTCACAAATCAGCAGATGGCAGATGGCGCTGCAGTCGATGTTTAGGTTATTTATCCTAAACAGCTGAACTAATTTGAATGAATTTTTGTTTATACATTCAAGTGGATTGGGTCCGCTAGTATTTATGTAAGAATGTAATTTGCAATTTTGTAATAAGAAAGAAGAAAGAAAAAACATTAATTTAGCACCAGGCACGATGCAGCATAAATAAAAAATAAAAAAAGACAATCGAGATGTGACAGTGGAAGTAATAAACATATAAGAGTAATGTAAATAATGTAAATAATGAATTATAATTATATTACGACTTTAAATTGAGTTTGTATGTATGTATAGTTTGGAATATTGTAATCATGTATTAAGACTAAATATGAGTTAATTGTGTTTTAAATTCTGTTTTGTATTTTATTATTGTATGTCTCAACGGCGGGACATAGCTGTACTAATTTTAATTATTTAAGACCTGTATTTATGATGTATATATACTTATAGTCCACAATAAAGACTATTTGATTTGATTTATATGTTGTACGGCAGGTGGTTACCCAGCCACCGCACCACCCGTGCAGTATTTTTAATAAGACTATATACTATAAGATACAGACTATAAGATAATATATTAAGACTGCACGGTTGGTGCGGTGGCTGGGCAACCGGCTGCCGTGCAACGTGTCGCGGGTTCGATTCCCGCACGGAACAACACTTTGTGTGATCCACAAATTGTTGTTCCATGTCTGTGTGTCATGTGTATGTGAACTTGTATGTTTGTAAACGTAAAAAAAAGTATTTACACATAATATCGTTTGTACCTCCTCCAATTGCTCAATCACACAGAGTTGTTCCGTGCGGGAATCGAACCCGTTACACGTTGCGCGGCAGTCAGTTACCCAACCACCGCGTCAACCGTGCAGACGGTCACAATTTTAATCGTTATTTACTTTGTAATTGTTTTTTATGGTATAAGCTTGTATACGAGCAGACGGATCACCTGATTGTGAGCAATCGGCGTCGTCTATGGACATCCGAAGCACCAAGGTGTTACAAGTGCGTTACCGGTCTTTTGGGGATTGGGACTGGGGAGGAGGGGGGGTCCTAATTGGGCCTCCGGTAACCTTATTCACACGACGAAACACAACGCTGTGGTTGTTTCACTATGATTTTCTGCTCATTGTTGTTCCTAATTTTAGTTATATGTAGATTAATATTTTAATTGTGTATTTAGTGACATGTAGACGATTTGGTAGATATAATACTGTTAGTCTATATTGTTGTAAATTATCCTTACTAATATTATAAATCTGAAAGTGAGTTTGTTTGTTCCACTATCACGCCGTAACTACTAAACCGATTGCTTTGAATTTTTGCAGACGTAAAGTTAAAAGTCCGGATTAAATAATAGGGTACTTTTTAACCTGGAAAAATTGATATTCCCGAGGGAAAACAAAAGTATTGGTATAGATGGCGCTGTGTGTATGGGTATATGTCATATAGGCTAATTTTTATTCTTTTGTGACGCGGGTAAAAGCTAGTAAATAAATAAATAAATGTAGTGAAAGTGAGCGTGGTCCGTACCGCTGACGGCGAGGAAGTCGTCGATGGTGGTGATGTCGTCGACGGCGAGCGTGAGCGTGGCGACGGCGCGGTCCCAGGCGCGCGCGAACGCGGCCGCGTTCTCCTGCGCCACGCGCGACCGCGACCGCGCCGCCAGCACCACCATCGAGTTGATCACCTGCGACACAAGGCATCACTGACTTATTATTTATTTATATAACACCTTACCTAAACTATCATGACAGGTTTCTCCATTGCGATAGCTAGGCCTCAATAAATACAAATGTTATGGCCAAATATAACAAAATCATAAAGTAAAAAACAAAAATGAACAAATTCTTGGCTAAACTTAACTCAATAATATAAAATACTAGAATACAAATAAAAAAGAAATATTACAAAACAAAGAAAAACAACTACACATAACATCACGCCTTTTATCCCCGAAGGGGTAGGCAGAGGTGCACATTATGCCACTGTACAATGTAACACCCACTTTTCACTATTTATGTTATGAGTCCCATGTAATAGGCGGTGAGCGTATTGCCATATAGTGTGCGTCAGGATTGCTCCGCCAAGTTATCAAATCAGAAAATGGTTTCAGCCAAAAATTTGTCGATATTTGTCAAAATCGAAAGAAACAAACCCCGTATTTGTCAAAGCAGAAATAAAGAAGCTATAAGCGTTTTAAGTTGGCCGCGCAATCCTGACGTCAAGGACTGCGCGGCCACGGAGATCTCAGCAACTACTTGGGATAGAGAAATAATTCCTTTTGTCAACTCAAGTCTGTATTTGTCAAGATTTGTCGAAAAATGAATCAAAGCTCTATGTCAATATTATAATTAAATATTCGCCTTGAAAGTCATGGCCGCGCAGTCCTTGATTTGCTATTTTGTTTTTAGTACCGTAAAATGGGGTGAATAGGGATCCAGGGGTGAATAGGGAAAAAACCAGGCATCATTTTTAACACTAAATGCTAGTTTGCAAATCGTTCCAACTTTTACCATTTTTTGAGGGCTAATAGTAGATTATTGGAACTTTTCTATGGCAACATTGAACAAGTGTAAAATCAGTTGCAAACTGTTAAAAATGTCAATTGAAAATAGTATAAACAAGATACCGGTTATTACAGTGTATAAAACTTTGCTGTGTAAAGGTTATTTTGTATTAAGCGAATAAGAGTGTTGGTTTTATACCTTATTTAGGGTTTGGGCCGTCATATGCACGAAAGGTAAGCATCAGTTATTAATTAATATGACTATAATTTAGATTTTTAGAATGGCATGCGAAATTTGTATTTTTTGGGGTGAATGGGGACGTCTCAGGTATGAATCGCAACGAAAGCGGGGTTAATGGGGATGAGGATGGGATGAATGGGAACGACTTATGTATGAATAGGTACAGCTTTATAGGGTTGTCACTAAGCAGACTTAACATTTTTAAATTGTGTAATCTAGGTAATAATATTTTTTTTATTTCATAAATTAGCGAGGTATTACATTGCGTCGTTAATCTAGTGATTGCAAGTGCAACTGCTGACCATGAAGTCTCGGGATCGGTTCCCGAGTCGACCCAAGTTTTGTTGGAATTTTGATATATTTTACGCAGTCCGAAATTGTGTCCGGCTTGTCCCCTATTTCTTGGGCTGACAACGTTACTGACGAACACTGGCTGTCACATTTAATACGTACATTTTTTTTTGGGTGGGAAATTATTAAACGTCTCCTCCTGCTCTGGGCGGAGCCGAAAGTTTATTTTAGTGTTGATATATTGAGTAGAAATTTTTATATACAATAATGCAAATTTATTTTTTCAGATATGCCTCGCGTGTATACCTCAAAAAGTACAAAACCTTATAAGAGGTATGATCCCCTTATATTAAAAACTGCTGTAGAAACTTATGAAACTGGAAGTAAATCTCTAGTTGAAGTAGCTAAACAATTTATTATTGCTAAATCCGTTTTGCATGTGATCTACATGTGATGAGAACAATGAAGAGTCAAGGTGGACAAAGAGCACTAAGTGATGAAGCAGAAAAATACATAAATATTTGTTCTGAGTGAATAATAATTGTTAAATGTTAATGAATAATTTGCAAAAGGTTTGTTGATTAAATAAATAATGGAAGTAAAAGTGGATTTTATTTCAGTGACTAAATAGCTATTAAATAATCAGAAACTAGTATTATGTAAGAATTACATAGTGGCAATAAGTAATAATGTAGAATAAATTAAAATACAAAAAAATGGTAGTTAGCTATAAATTATAATTTATTAGGTAGGTACCTACACAAGTGGCAGCCCTAGAGAATTTCCCTATTGGCCTTATTTTCGTCCCGATTGACCCCAATTTCTGGGTGAATAGGGATAGGCTATATTTCAGCCTTTTTATGCATAAACTGAAATGCTAATTGCATAATTTATGTTTGATCACAAAGATAGCATCACGACTCAATTATTACAATCGCCTTACAGCAAATTTTCTATAAAAAAACGCCTTAACTTTCTTTATGAAGTTCAGATTTGTCCCTATTCACCCCATTTTACGGTATTTTTTTTATTAAAATTGAAGACTTCATATAGTATAGGAGTTAAAAGGAGAAAGGTCTTAATTTGTCTAAACTGACAAAAGCTTTAAAATACGACTAAAGTGTAATTAAACAGACGAAATCAATTTAAAACACAAAACTCGTGGCCGCGCAGTCCTGACGTTACTTTAAACCATGATATCTCAATAACTATAGTAGCTAGGATTTTGCTGTAGACGTCCATATAATCCTCATATTAACCCCATTAAAATGACATATCCTTTTACCCTCAACACTGTTTGGGACGCAAGTAATCTCAAGAATTATGTTACCCCATACAATGTTCTAGTAGAGTGACCATAATTTCGATTTGTTTTTAATCTTTGTCAAACTGGCTATGACAGCACAGTTCAAGGGCATTCTGTTCTGTTAGTCAAAAACTTAAATAAAATACTAAATAAGACGAAATAAAAAACTTGTTTAATATTTGAATATTTTTATTCATTGCACAAATATAAAGATTTCAAAAATCAACAAAATCATTATTCTTCAACTTTAAATGTTTTTCATCGGCTCTTACACCTCTACTAAAACATAAGTTAAAAAATGGATATATACAGAATCGTTTGTACTCTCTTCTAATTTACTCTTGTTATCGTCGTAACAAAGCATTCCGCTATTTCTTATAATATGACACTTATAATGCCCTATTGTTCCAAGTATTGGAGGAACATATTCTACGGCACCTAATAATTTATAAATGTTTTGTTTAATTATTATACTTTTAGGTACCTCATGTAAAAACACCATTTGCGTGCCATTTAAATCGAATGTAACAATTTTTGACAAGGTATAATGAAATAGAACTACTTCATTGCATTTTCTGCATTGCTTGTTTTCCCAATCATGAATAATAATAGAATCTTCCAAGTTACTGATGGTGAAAATATTAATTATTTATTTATTTATTTATTTATTTATTTATTTAACAACTTTGGAAGACTAACAGCTAACAAAACAAAAATTATGACATTGTGTGAGAGTCTGACAGCCAATGACAAGTCTTCACATATAAAAAACAAACTTATGCTATAAAAGAATGTGGTCGACACAGTACTCCCTACAAAATTATTATAATAATAAAAACAAATAATAACAAAATAAAAAGAAACAAAGTACTAAATCACTAATCTATACCAATAAACATCTGAACACTATACAGACAGATTACCTCGCATAATATTAGTTCAACCGCGTTCCCTATTATGTTATTTAATAAAAAAAAGAAAGGCTCAGGCACCTCCTGACCGTAGATACTTTAATATTAAAAAGGTCAAGATCATGCTGCTTGCACACGCTGTTAAATTCCTTAATTGCACGCACAAAATACGAGTTTTGCCTATAATTGGTAGAGGAGGATGGAACACGTAGCGGTGGAAACCATCTCCTCGACCTTCCAGGAACATTGAGAAACAATCTCGCTAGAATATCGGAACTGTCAATATTATTTGTTAAGATTTTAATTATTAGGGTGCAATCGCTTATTGCTCGGCGGTCCTTAAGCGGTAAGATGTGATATTTCTTACAGAGACTGTAGTAATCTTCAGGCCGGTATGGGACACCCTGGTGATAGCACAGATACTTGATGAATTTCTTCTGGATATTTTCAATACGATCAATGTATTTGTGATAACACGGGTTCCACACTTCAGACGCATATTCCAAGTGACTTCTAACAAAAGTGCAGTATAGAATTTTTAAAGTTTTTGATTGAGTGAAGCACTTAGATAGACGCATAATGAAGCCCAATGACTTTGAAGCTTTAGCAACAATGGCATTAACATGAGCCTCAAAAGTGAGCTTAGTGTCATGATGAACCCCCAGATCTCGGATGATATCTGATCTAGGAAGTGTTTGATCTCCCAAGGTATATGATGCAACTATATTAGTGCGCTTTCGGGAATATGTCACCACCGAACATTTTGAGGGATTTAGATCCAGCCTACACTCACGACAGTAAGCTTCCAGTCGACACAGGTCAACCTGTAACGCAGCCACATCGGTCTGTGATGATATTTTTGAAAAGATTTTCATATCATCGGCAAAACACAGTAACTTTGATGAGATCAGACACGAATCAATGTCATTTATATAGATGATAAAGAGTAATGGGCCTAGCAAAGAACCCTGCGGGACTCCACTGGGGACAGGTACCCAACCAGACATATAATTACTTAATACTACTGCTTGGGACCGGTTTCTCAGATACGAGGAAAACCATCTGAGTAGATCACCACGTATTCCCACACTATCCATCTTAGATAATAATATTTCATGTTGAATTCGATCAAAAGCTTTACTGTAGTCTGTATAAACGACATCGACCTGCCCACCCCTGTCCATAGCATCAGTAATGAAATCGTTAAGAAGAATTAAGTTAGTGACGGTGGACCTTCCCTTCAAAAAACCGTGTTGGAAAGAACTAAAGGAGTTATTGAGCGCACTATATACCTGATTGTAGATAATTCTTTCAAAGATTTTTGCTATGATACATAGTTTAGAAATTGGTCTGTAATTAATTATTTCAGTTTTTACTCCTTTTTTGTGAATTGGTGTTATAAATGCCGATTTCCAAATTATATCTAAATTTA